TAAGACGATATAACACACACTTCATTTATTGTACTGTTATTACAAACACTGGACACCTGATATAATTTATATTATCAAGCACACTATCGTATTTTAAAAGTAAATAATTAATTAAACCGGACATCATTAAGTGAAGCGTGACTAACCTATTGCCATAAAACGTCTACACAAAAGAAAACAGATATGCATATCGGCTTAATTAATAATGATTGTGGCATAGAATTTTAATTAAAGACTTTCGATTTCTTTCTAACACTACTGTTTCGCTATGAGAGTTACTCAGGAGCGAACCTATTTTTAACCTTTCTATTTAAGATTCTTAAACAATTTCGTGTTATAAATGTAAATACCTCATACATCATTCTGTTACTTCGGCAGTTTTGAATGTCAGCGGTTATCAAAAAATGGATTTTATGTAAATTACTTGGCGGATTTTGTTTAAGTAGAAAAGTATGGCAATCAGTGGAAAATGCTTTGGTTTGAGTAGAAGTGCGGCACTAGACCACGAACGTGGAAGAGGATCTTATAAAAGAAATGTTTAACTGGGCGTCACAACAGGGACATAATATTGTTATAGAAATACCTTAGTATCGTGTTGCGACTGTCGGGCGGGTTTAATAATATTGCATCTCCACACGATCTGACTTCTAGACTAGGATACGCCACTGGTGCTTATGTTTAATAACTGATTACACACTTTTATTTTCATATTTTGCTGATTTCCTCTGAACTTTGATTTGGGCTCCCTCCGGGTCTTAGTATTTTTGTACTTTTGAATGGAAAGGCTAAAATAAATATAACAAGAATATAAACAATATAAAATAAATATTATGAATATGAGAGATGGAGAATATTAAGAATTTGCATACATTTCTCATTTGTATATGTGTGCTACATTTACAGCCCACCTAATTCTCCTTAATTTAATCACCCTAAAAATCAGCTTGATTAAACGTTTTTCTCTTTTATTATTTATGATCATGGTCACTTTCGCAGCTTATTTAACATTAAAAAGTTAAAAAAAATTGACACAGCGTTGTTAATACAGGTCTGCTAAGAAACTGCTGGTAATAAAGTCTTTGGGATCTGCAACATAAATACACCTGTAAAGATAAATGTTCACCACCGAATTAACGAGCAGTACTTTTGACCATTGGCAAAAATGACGTGGGAACCAACTAGCGTTTTGATGTATTTTGTACAGTTATGGCAGAAGATTTCAAGAAACAGCAAGTCATGATTGCAGAGTAATGTTTCCATAAACCCCTCAGGTT